AAACTTTCAGAGCTAGTGCATGTGTAGTTTTTAAGTTATAGAATTTCCTTTTATTAATGGGTGGATCTTGTGTGAATTTTCATAATTTTTCTATAGATCCAGTGAAGGTAAAATTTGATAAGTGCTATTCTTATGCTAGAATGATGCTAGGAAAAATGTGAAATCTATTGCTTGACACTTTTCATTAGGGTTTTCTAATTATGCTCAAATTAGACTTGTCATCTGTTATTTTGGATACAGCAAGTTCTGCTTGTCCAATGGCCTTGAAATTTTTATGGTAGTCTATGTGCAGCATGAGATAGCTACTGTAATTTTTGTAGATTTTTATGAATAGTTTTACTAGATATTGCTTAAATCACCTAATTAACTAAATAAATTGGAAAAGGATATTAAATAAATTATTTAGAAGTTGGCACTATACTTTCTGATGTTTCTTAGGTATGAAAAACAAGTTGGTAAACTTGGTTTGATCAAATTATGCTTTTGCACAATCATTAAATAATTAAGTTAGTAACCCTGTCATTTCTGGATAGATTCTAAGTTTACTGGAATTCGATTTGGTTAACATAAGAATCATGCTTTCGTGTTTACAAATGTTTTGTAGAGAATTTCATAAGCTTTCCAGAATGTCCTCATACAAGTCATTTGGAATTGTAGAACTTTGGTTGTGATTGAATTAAGGGACTACTTGTATGCATATGAAACTTTAAATGTTAAATTATGTATACCTTTACTATTTCTAAGTTGTGGTAATGTTCCTAGGTGTTAGGCCTTTAACCGAAGATGAGCATCTTTATCTTAGGTTATGCAAGTTAGGTAAGTTGACCTTGTTCTTTAAGTTAAGTTAGATACATGCTTAAAGTGATTTGAATAGGGCTAGTCTTACTCGGTAAACGAGTGTCCAGTGATGTTTTCGGTAACACTTACTGTGATTCATTCATCATGAGCATCATGTCATTCCTTATTTATCCATGATATTTATCTTTTGCATCGGCATGCAATAGGTGTACCGGAAGGAGTAACCCTGCTGGAATTCGAGGAACCGAGCGAGCAGCAGCAGCCGACACCGAAGATTCAGGAGGAGCAACCTTCAGGAGAAGTGCCGGACGAGGTCGCCGTTGAGTGCCCGGACCACCGTCCTTGCAACTTTGTGAAAGGCAAGCCCCGGAGCATATTAAGCCTCCTAATTTTCGAAATGCAGTTACAGTATTATTGTTACATATATATATTGTTGCATTAAGTTTAGGTGTTGGATGCAAACCATTGCTGCATTGGTTACCCAATCCTTGTCCAGATATTGTTACCCTGAATCCTATGTAGCTCAGGCTCGAGTAGTGCTTAGCCCTGCTTAAACGCGGTAGAAGTTGGGTGATTTCCTGTCACCTGCGAGATATAGGAAGATACATGTGGCACGGTTGGCTATATTTGCTATCATGGAAAAGAATCAGTCTTAATTTGAAATGAAGACCGGGCGGAGGCTTGTCGGTTTGCAGTGACTCCGTCTGTGTCGATTAAGTACTGAATCTTGGAGCCTTTCCTGTTCATGTTGAACGCATGCCTCTCTCTTAGTTGGCCGGGTCTGGAGACCGACCACGAAGCCGAGTAGCTCACCTCAGGCTAGGAGTCGATAAGTATAAAGTGCGCCTCGAAAGGGAGCCGTAGGCGTGAGTCCAAGGGCAGGTGATTTAAAAGTCCTGATCGTCCTGGCAGAAGGGTAATCCCTGAGAGTGCTGGCGCTGATCGAACCCGCGAATTTGGTTCCTGAGATGTACCAAAGGTAACCCATGGCTACCCTTGCTAAGTATGCCAGGGTGAGAGTTAGGAATACCCCCTCAGCTGAGTTGTAATTCGATTCGAATCGCCGTCTCTCCCGGTTAGTGAGAACTTGACGGGCTTATCTCCAATGTAGATACACTTAATAACTTAATGGTTCGGAAATGATGATATGATGATGATAGCCTTATTATACCTGCTATGGTTAATATTGTTTGCTCCTAATAAGTAAGTGCTCTAGTACAGGTGCTAATCTAGTGGACAGGTAAATAATGATAAGCTTGATAATAAGTTTAAATTGGTTACTATAATCATAAGCCTTTTATGCATCTGTGTCAAGCTAGCCCACCTAAAAAGCCTTGCATGATCCTTGGTGTCTTTTATTTCTGTTCTTGGCGGGTAAGTCTAGCTGAGTACCTTCTCATACTCAGGGTTTATTTCCCACCTGTTGCAGATGACCAGTTCTTCTTTGGTTGCTGCAAGTACTGCCTTCTCCCTGCTGGGTTTGAAGACTAGACCGTTGGGCGCGGTCTCTACTAGTTCTCGTACCTGATAATGCTTTTGCGGGACATGACTCAGACTTGGCAATGTTTTTGAAAACTATGATGTTTTGTACTAAACTATGTTGCTTCCGCACACTCAAACTTGGTTTGTAATATTTTATTTGAACTCTGATGGATGTAATCCGAATGCTACTTGTGAAATGTTGTAACGGATGATGTGTTGTGTTGAATCATTACGATCTTGGTTTGTATGTCGAGAGTTGGTTGAAATCCTTCGTGATTTCCGGACTACCGGGATTATGGGAGCTTAAGTACAGGAATTTGATCGCTTCGGTGATTGTTTTTGTACTTACGTTCTTATGATTTGGTCGGTTCTGTTACATTCTTGCTCATCAAAGTAGTACTCTTGATCACCCACAAATTGCTCGCCGTCTATACTCGATAATCACAACAACATACAAGCATCTAGAAGCAATCATGCATAGCAAACAAAGGCTATAGATTAGAATAGTACACCAATAGCATAAAATCAAGATGAAAAGTTTGTAAAGCGATCTACGTCTTGCTACGAACACACAGACGCGAAGATCACGAAATCAGAGCTAAAACAAAGAAGTTATGAATTAAACAAGATTTCCTTTAATAAAATAATAGATTAAATCTAACCTTGAATTTTAAAAGTTGAAAACATACTTAATAGTAGTATGAACCGTAGATTATGTAATTATGAACCTAACGCAACTTGAACGGATCAAATCGGAGATAAAATGAAGATTTTATGGCTAAAACAAGATTAGTGGCAAAACTGTAAATAGATGAAACTCGATTTTAGAATTTAAATTAATAAAATCGGATTTTAAACCGAAACAGGGACTGCAGGCACGAAAACGAAGAAACACAGGGACTCTTTAACAAAATTGCAGGGACGGCGGGTTGAGATCCAAATAATTATAAGAGCCTTTTTGCAAAACGACAGGCGAAGGGGTATCTTTGAATCTGGGACGTTGATCACGTGATGAACGACTGCGATTAAATGGGAGGGAGAGAGAGAGCGCGCCCGCTGGAGAAGAAAACGGCGCGGCGGCTGCCATGAACGGCGGCGAGGAAGCTCGCAGGTGACATTGATTTAGGTCCTATGGAACACCACAGAGCAAAGCGAGGGCACAAGGAGAGAGAGGAGATCAAGGCGAACTCACCAAGACTGAAAGCAAGGACGGGGATGGACCGACGACGCACGGCGGCTGCTCGACTCGACGGCGGTGGCAGCGCTAGGGCTACGGTTTTGTTGCAGCTCAAGCGAGGGTGGTGGCTTGCTCGAGGATTAGGAGGAGGCAGTGTGCGCAAGGGCCGCTATTTATGGGTGGCTTCGGCGTGCGGGTCATGCCAGGACGCGACATAGAGGAGGCGGACTCGGCGGCGACGGCGGTTGTGACCAACCCGGTCTCGCGCGGGGAGGAAGAAGAAGACGACTGACCAGTGGGGTCCGCCTGTCCATGTCAGTGGGAGAGAGGAACGGCGCAGGCGCGCTGCCGAGCGGGCCACGGGCGAAGCTGGGCCGAGAGAGGAAGGGGGAGAACACTGGGCCGGGAGCAGCAGGCCCATGCGGGGGAGTGATGGGGAGGAGAAGGCGGGTTGCGCCTTGGGCCAGCAGGCCGAATAGAGGGAGAGGGGAAATAAAACTCTTTTTTCTATTTTCTTAACACAATTTCAAATCAAATTCAAACTTAAATTCAATTCTTTTGCAAATTTTCATCAAATCCAAGCATCACAAAATAAATATGCAGCATCATATATACATATACATGTATGTAGACCTATATTCAATTTTATTTTTAACAAAGTTATTATTTTCCTAAATTTAAATACTCACAAAATATATAATTACATTATTTTCGTCTATTTAAAAACCATGTAAATTTTAGGTCATTACAGATGGAGATGCTCTTAACCTTATTCACAGCAAATCCAAAGGTCACGGGGTCCAACAACGATGAGCTAGCTGTCAACTAGTACCTTTGGCCATATTTGGTCGCGGTCGTGGTCGTGCCACGCCAATAATGAAGGCTAAAATTCACCCCTGGTCTCATTCGTAGAGATATCATGTGCCTATCATCGGCGTACGTACTTCCTCCGTTTCAAGACAAGTGTTGTTTTTAATTTTTAGATATCATTTTTGACTGTTTATCTTATTTATTTTTATATAAATTATATTATAATATAAATAAGTCATTATTACAGTACCTCTAATGATAAAATAAGTCATAACAAAATTATGTGTGTGTTTTTTTTTAAAAAAAGTACAATGCAAGTCAGTGTCTTCTCCGTGGGCGTGCGAACGCAGCTAGCCTTGCACTATCAGAGCTTTTGCATGCATGCATGCTGTGCCTGTCATGTCATCATATCGGTCCTCCGCATCTCACGAATAATAATGGGTACACGGCCGGCCGCGCTCGTCCATTACCATTTACCATTCGTCCCATCGCGCACGTCCAAACCTGCCCTCAACGTCAGTCACGTGGTTCACGCGCTGGGCAGATGACATGTGCAGTGGGCCCTCAACACTACCGCGACCGAGCAAGCAAACACGCTCGCTCTATAAAAGTTCACACAACCACGCCTGTGGATGGCAGAACAGGGCACAGTGTCCGCCTCCTCCAGTCCCAGTCCCAGGTAGTAGCTGGAGGCTAGAGCTAGCACGCAGATCGAGTGCGTGGCGCAATGGCAATGGCCACGGCCAAGCTCCTCCTCCTCATGGTCCTCGTGGCCGCCAGCTCCTGCGACGGCAGCGCGTGGCGGGGGCCGCTGAGCCGCCTGCGGATGCTGCCGACGGCGCAGTACGTCGTCGAGGCGGCCGCGGAGCGCCTCAAGGAAGACGTGTCGTCGGCGCCGCTGATCCACGCGCTGCACCCGCTGCTCGGCTCCGCGGGGGACTTCTCCAGGCGCGCCGGCGTGCCGTGCGACAGCTGGCGCCTGGCCGTGGAGACGTACAACAAGCGGGACTGGACGACGGTGCCGGCCAGCTGCGAGGGCTACGTCGGGCACTACATGCTCGGCGGCCACTACCGCCGGGACTCCCGCGTCGTCGTCGACGAGGCCGTCGCGTACGCCGAGACGCTCAACCTCGGCGGCAACGGCAAGGAGGTGTGGGTGTTCGATATCGACGAGACGTCCCTCTCCAACCTCCCCTACTACGCCAACCATGGCTTCGGGTACGTACGTACACGCGTTGTTTAATAGTAGTGATTTTTATTTACCAGTGTACGTACTTCTATACGTACGCTAATCTGGGAATTACACGTACGTACGTATCGGTACTGAAAGTGGGAAGCTAAGAATTAGCTGGCCTGAGGTAATACCACAATAATTTGCTAGCACAACAGTACGCTAGACCCACTAATATAGAAACGGTTTTCATTAGAGCTAGCTAGTACGTATTTTTTTCACTGACGATGTACAAAAGTAGACGCTAGTGCAGTGATTTTTTTGGGGAGCCAACACACAAGAACCGCTAGTGAAATAAATCATTTCAGTTGTGTTTTATACAGCATCACCCTCAGTAGAAATGCTCCTATTTTTACTAGTGGTTGATTAAAACTACTACTAGTAGAAGAATATATATTTTTACTGCGGTTGGTTATGGGTTATATATGTCAGCCGCAAGTAAGTACAAATAGTCCTGTATATTTTGAGAGACGGTTGTCCTTAAGCCATATGCCACTAAAAATCTAATTTAAAATCATGCGTATATAAAATCCAGCGTATCAGTTGACGACCGAACATTGTTTTTAAATTTGTAAAAATGACTTCAACGCTAGCTATTCCGTCCATTTCAAGGTGTAAGGAGTTTAAAATTTTGTATAGAACAAAATACGCCACCATCTTTATAGTACATCTTTGTGGTATTATAGGTATTGATATATTTTTTATATATAAACTTGTATTGTTTAATATTAGATAAATTTGACTTAGAAAAAAAAAATCAAAACGGTCTACTCTCACCATCCAAATAAAATTATAAATGCTTCTGATTCTATTCTAAGTGCAACTATTGAAAGTTTGACCAATTTTTAGCATTACCATCTCTGACATAAAAGAAGAAAAATGTAAAAATATACTCATCTTTTAATGGATCTCATGATGCTCATAAGGTATCATTCATAAATAATGTTGTTTTTTCTATTAACTTAATCATACTTGTATTAATAGTTTGATTTAGCACAAAGTTAGAAACTCTTACATTTACATGTTACATATGTTCCAAAAGTAATTGCGTATGGCCATGTGGGAGTAGTCCAGTAGAAAACCTTCTGACAAACTGAGGTGTAAATTAAAACATATATATATATATATATATATATATATATATATATATATATATATGTGTGTGTGTGTGTGTGTGTGTGTGTGTGTGTGTCCTTTCTTTGTGTCCTCTATCTCAATGAAAGGGGCACAGATTGTCCTGGAGACCTGGACAAGGGCAGCATGTGCCGAGCAAAACAATGCCTGACGGAGACGTCGATGAGATTATGCCAGATCAGAGTAGGATCATGTACGCGTGCAGAGTACGTGCAGTAGGATATATTGCTGGTCCGCTTGGCCAACGCTTTCTGGCTACAGAAACCTTATCAATTTCTGGAATCTAGATAGCGTCCTATCCAAAAAAGAGGTTGCCTACTGTTCACACAGAATATAGGAAAAAATATATTGCTGGCTAACGCGTGGTCCCAACTATACTTAACCTCTAGATAATTGTTTTTTTCAATCTTAATGCCTAGCACTAAGCCGTACAACGCGACGAGCTTCAACGAGTACGTGCTGGAGGGGAGCGCGCCGGTGCTGCCGGAGACGCAGCGGCTCTTCAAGAAGCTCATCTCCCTCGGCATCAAGCCGGTGTTCCTGACGGGCGCACCGAGGACCAGAGGGCCATCACCGTGGCCAACCTCCGCCGCCAGGGCTACTCCGGCTGGATGAAGCTGCTGCTCAAGCCCGTCGGGCTCAAGGCCACCGCCATCGCCTACAAGTCCGGCGAACGGCAGAAGCTCCAGGACGCAGGGTTCGTCATCGTCGGCAACATCGGCGACCAGTGGAGCGACATCCTCAGCGCGCCCGAGGGCGCGCGCACCTTCAAGCTGCCTGACCCCTCTACTACATTGGCTAAGCGTAAGCGATGCTGCTACGCTGGCCTCCGTATAATTTATCCAACGGCGGCTAGATCTCCATCAGCCCCATCGATCAATCCGTCGCCCGGTTGCAATGCCTGTCCTGTTTGTGATGAACTGCTCTTTGTTTGTTATACCCCTCGCTTCTTACTTTATGACCGCTCCATGTTATCATTAATTCCTAAGGTTAATTTCCTGAGTTTAGTGGAAATAAGGCTGACTGATCAGTGCAGAGCCTGTCGATTTCTCAATAATTTGCTCATCATTATATATGTTATTCAAAGTGGATGAATATCCTTTGTGGTACAATATATATATCATCGTCTCCTCTATAAAGCTATAATATATTTTATGGTAACCCCATTTTATTTTTCTTAGCCTGGGATGGTATTTTTGGGCTGAGACGGGAGGGAAAGCTGGAGCAGGTCATGTGCCTAACGAAATGTTGAGCATGAAAGTTGGAGAAAATTAGCCTGTGCGCTCGCTCCGAAATAGGAAATTCACATATTTCTGTGTTTAGTAGATATGATGGTTGCGTTCTACACAAATGTTATTCGTATTTTCCTGTGTATTAAATAAAGGACGAAGTTAAGCTGTGATTTCCTCCCTGCGCCGCGCTCCCTTTCTGCGCTCGTCCTCGCCTGTGCCGTCCCGCCGTCGAGCTAGCACCCCGTTCTCGTCCTTGACCCCACCCTCGTCTTCATCGTCGCCCCTGCCGTAGGCGCGCTAGGGTTCGCTGGAGCACCGTCAATATGCCCATCCAATTTTTCGTCGACATAGGGAAGAAGCTCTGTCATTCAATTAAAAGGGAAAGAAGTATTAGGTTACAATGGTGGATCCACACCACACCTAATCAGGGCAAAGGGGGGGGGGGGGGTGGTTAAACAAACGAGTAAATTCCCCTTAGAAATGACATACAGTAGGGCCAAAGCAATTACAAGATTAGCAACATCTTAGGAAATCCTACAAATGTTCTACGTGATATAAATGATGACCCTGTTGAAGGTATGGCGTTGAGTCTCCGGAATGTGCCATTGTGTCCCCTCCCACTAATCAGCTACGGGAAAAACGGAAGAGACCGATTGTATACTCCTTTATATAGTGCACGGATGCTAATTTTGGGCTAGGTACGGGCCTGTCAGTGCGGCAACAAGGCCACTTGCCAATTTTGTCCGGGCCTGCCTGAGTTGCTGGCCCAAGGACTCAATAGCTACGACCCGCGCATACATTCGCCCTGTAGCTCTGTGAATTTGTGATTGCGCAGCTTCATTCGCCCTGTCGCTCTCCAATTTTCTCTTGCTTCAGTCCCTTCCTAAATCCTATCCCTGTCAAGCCTCTTCGCTTCATCCGGGCCGGCGGGCCTTTTCTCCGCGGCATCCATGCTCCCATGCCCATGATGGGAAGCGGCGAGCAGGGACGAGGGAGCAGCGTGCGGCGAGCCAGGAGGCCGTCCAGCAGGCAGCAGGTACCATGTACCAGCTGGTAGCCTGGTAGCAGCACAGTGACTAATCGATGTAAATTTAAACTGTAACATACCAACAATACTACATGAATTAAATTACCCAAATACTTCTTTACAGCCGCGTACGCTATTGCGACTTCGCATGCACATCCAATCCACAGTTGATTTTTATTCTTCCTGCACATCGACCACCCATGTCGATCGGTTATTGCTACCGTGCGGTCAGAGAGCCTTCCGTCCACAAGGTGGGCTCCACTCATTAACGCAGTTTCGTTATCCACCGATGCTCGTCTCCGCATTCTCTCTCCAGCACCCGTTCTCTCCTCTCGTTAGTCTCTTAATCTCATCTAAGATTAGGGAACGGCGGAGGAGCAGCGATGCCGGAGTTGACCTGAGGTGCGGCGGACGTTGGCCGGCGCGGCGTGGGGATCAGGTTTTGCCAAAAGAAAAGACTGTGCAGTCGGATGGCACTAAAATTGCACGTCCGTGCTATAGTAAAGTTCAATTAAATTAAATACCATTATACACTTGGTCAACAACGTACTCCCTCGGTCCCAAAATAAATATTTTCTAAGATTTAAAATTTATTCCATAAAAGTAATAATCTACAGAAACATGGGATATTGTCTCGTAAAATGAAAGCTAATCATGGGTACATACAAATGATAACTGTCAAATCCAGGAGATATCACTCGGGAAAGAAAAAGAGACGAGGATACATACATCTTTTGTCAACGTCTTTAATTTGTCTGATTTTTTTTTCATAAAGTCATTTATTTTAGGACGGAGAGAGAGTATGCTCCATTATTAGTTTTAATTTTGCATCCTTATCTTTTTCATGGTTGCAATGTATTAGACTTCTGAAATCGCGGGAATCGAGAGTGTGGCGTTGCAACAAGCTTCTGCAATCTTATGTTATGGTTTATTTGGCTGAACTTTAATCCAGCACAATATGTATGAATTGAGGTGGATTAGTGTACAGCTAAACAACACCTGAAAAGTGGGGGCATGGATGTTTGTGCCAGGGAGAGCGAGGCGTAGCTCCAATGGAGGGGATTTATTTGGCATTGTTTCATGTTTTTTGATAAATCCTTGAAATTGAGGTGACATTGACGCTATCTAGAAATGATGCGATTTTTTTTATAATAAAGTGATATACTTCTATTGACAGTTACTTTCAGGACTACCTTGTCGCGCTCATGGTCTATCCTACATAAAGAGGAAAATAGACCTACGCTGAAATGGGTATTATCGAATGTTGGAGATTCCAACAATGGAGATTTTCGTCAAACATGAGTGACTGTCTTCGAATAGGCTTAGTGCTTAGTTAATTGGTCTTCTTTTCTTCTTTTGCTTTTTGTGAGCTCTTTAAATCTAGTAGAAGGCTCAGCTGTAATAATAGATTGGTTGAGTGCAAAACTCTATCAGAGGTTAGAATAATAAAATTTTCTTTTTCTTAAAAAAGACATAGGAGGCCCGAATGAAACATCAAAACCTCAATGATTAGGTATTCAATCGTCGGTAGCCTTTCATGTTTTTTCATGTCTTGATTGACATCGTTTGTTGCAGTTGAAGTGTCATCTTCAAC